CTAAAAGGAAGGAAAAATAGTCCTAAATATTAGTATAAAAATGATTAAACATTTATTTATATAATAATCATCTGTAAATCTTTATAAAAAATTTATAAATTAATAAAACAGATATACATGCGAAGTCATAACAGACGAAGCTTGCTAAGCATACTTAACTTTAATATCTCTTACATAGATTGTAGTATTGTACTTGAGTTAGATTTTTTTTTTCCTAAGAATTTAAACTCGTGTGCGACCAACAATTCTAGTTGCATTGTAATTTCTAATTAACTATACGTACAATTTTCAAATAATTTTAAAAAGTACAAGTTTATTTTATTTTGATTTCCTAAATATTAGGAATTTTTACATAGTTCAAATAAGGAATAGAATAATAAAATGTGATAGTCAATTCATATGTTTTCCCAGTAAGCTTGGAATTTCAGAAATAAATAAAAAATTTACATGGTTGAAAGAAGTGAAAAATAAGAGTTCAACAATTATATTTATAAAAATTATCTTAGGTGATCAGTTCAAATATTAATTATTTCGTATTTATATTAATAAGTTTGAAATAAAATATTATAGTAATAAGCTTCTTTATAGTGTTAACAGCTTTAAGGATATTTCAGTCATTTTAATAGAAAAAGTGCTTACTAGCACTTGTTTACCAAATATTTCAACAGCTTTTTTTCAGCTCCAGCACTTTTATCCAAACGCATAACTGCTTATTTATAAAATAAGCTCCAACACTTAAAAAGTGCTTTTAAGCACTTGTGCTTAAAAGCTACTTTTTTTAAGCCAAACTCATAGCCATCTAGACAACATAGAGAGGAGGAGTTCATGAATATATAAACTCATTCTTTTTCTTGATCTCTCCAAAAAGGGTGTAGGTATATTTATGCTGCAAAGATTGAAGAGTCTACTACAATGCACTTCGAATAAATCAACAACCAACCACCAGTAGAACGTTGTAGTTATGTTTCTAAGACTGACTATCAGTTCCTGGCCTTGAACTTATACGCCTCAAGCTATAAGAACAATAGACACCTATCTTTCAAAAATAACACTAAAGCATTCACCAAGTGTTAGGTAGACCAGGTAGTCATCTTTATTAGCCTGTTAGCTCTTATATGTAACGTTTTTTAGCCTGTTAGCCTTAAAGCAGACAACTTCAACAAAGATATGGAAAGTGAAACTACAACATGTGCAAGTCACAACATCATAAAATAGATCAAGCAGCTCGATCGAGCCTAATTAGTCAACACATTTTTTTTATAGAAAAGATACTGCTCCGTATTAGCCTATAACAAATCAAAAAAGAAGAATACTATTCGCCTATATTTGAACAGATTCAGCACATCTCTTGACAAGCAGTACCAAGATAGAAACAAGGAGTTACCGTTCTTTAACAAAGCCCCAAAGAGAATAGAAATGATTAGCCAAGTTAAATTCTTAAATATCCATAAGCATATATAGATTTCAAGAATAATACAGTGCAAATACTGGTATACATATGAATTGGCAATCATATTGATACAATTCAGTTCATCATAAACTCAAACTAGAATGCAAGTCCTTCTGACCAAGTTAACATGCTAAATATTAAGGGATCACCATATCAGTGGTCTTTTGAGTTTCTTTTGTCCAAAACAAACGAGAAAATCTGCAGGTCCAGCGACTTATATAATGTTTCCTGCAGACACCTGGGGTGCTTTTTTGTGCAGCAAGATCCTGCGCATGCGTATATGCTTCACTAAGTCCTTATGATGCTTTACCTAGTTTAGTTGTCTATCATTTAATCTTAAATGTATTGAGTTGCCATACCGGTGCATAAAATGTCAAGAAGCTGTTATGAGATGCTGATTGATTGCATTAGGACTGTTGGCGCACGTTTTTCTTGGCTTTAGAGGTGAACAACTAAGATTACACATCAGCGCCAAGACGATCTAAGCCCTCCATACCTTGTCTGACAGAGAGGTTTAGGTTCTAATTGCTTTTCATCCTCTAGTCTCTTAGACAATACTTTTAGCTTTTCTGAATTGTGAAGTTGGAAAATCTTTTGGTTCCATGAGTTAAGTTTTTTGATAAGGGAAATTAAAGGAATAAAACAAATGATATGGAGAAGAGATGCATGAGCCACTTAAAGATTCTGCACCATATTTACTGACATAGAAGTCAATATCAACACTCTAGCAGGAAATCGTTTTTCATTAACTTACCTCTACCAAAATTCATACAAAATCTGGGCCCACGATTATGTTTTCAGTCTGTTAACTTTGTTGCTCCTAAGTAAGCTTTACTTCCTTTCTAGCTTATAGCTGCACAATACAACTACACATTTGCTTCACAAAAAGGATAAATTGTACAACCTATAACCCAATATATGATGGAAAAGATCTCAAAAGCTAAAGCTGATAAAAATCACAAAAAGTAAAAAATGCTTCTGAAAATAAATCAAATAAAGCCAAAAATGGTGGAGATGTAAGAATTACCGGTAAGAGATTGGAAGCAATGGAGGTCAAAGTTATCAGCTTGAAGGAGTTCGATACCGGCGCAACCATTAACTGGGGACAACTGCTGAGAGATAGCGTGCATAGAATGCCAAAGACTAGCCAATCTCAAACTATCATTTGTGTCCATTCTGCCAGCAGAACCATAATCCTAACGTTTTTTGACACCCATTACAACTACAAATTAGGATAAACAAAAACAAGCTAAGTTGAAAAGTGCAAGAAATTGAATTTAACCTTGTAGAAAATAAGCCCTCCAGATTTATTGATGATGTAAAGGCTGTAAATAGCTGCCATTTAGATTAAACCCCTTTCTTTCTTGGCCTCTCGTGGCGAGTTGATCTGAATGGATTCAGTTAATAAGCTTAGCAAATTGAAGATTCGAGCTATTACTTCCAGAGAACAGTCGAGTTTGCAGTTGACACAAATTTTCCAAAAGAGCCAAAAAGAAAAAAAAATCTTGATCTTATTGGATTTAGTTTACAAATTTAGCTAGTGAAGATTTACAGGCAATTATTTCTGGAAACAACACTGCATTTGATTCAAATAGCACCCGAAAAAAAACCAACAATAACACACACGCACACACACAAAAAGAAAAAGGAATTGATCCTGATCTCTAATTATAAAGAGTTGACTAAGCGAGATTGAGTTCACTAGGAAGAACTGGGGTTTGAGTGATTGGGGAGGGGTAAAACAAAATGGTGG